GCCGGGCAGCGAAGGCGCCCAAGAGCCAGGACGTCGGGCTCCCGACCCCTTCGCAGTTGACTGTGTCGGCCGGTGCCTGCTTGTCGAGGATAAACAATGCGAGCGTCGCGATTCGTAGATGATGGTCGTGCCCCTTCGGCAACAGAGGATTGCAAGGGACTGCGCCAGGGGGGAGGGGTCTTGATCGAATGCCTATCGTGGAAGGTGCATCCAGAACAGCGACCTGATCGGCGGGCCCTAAAAGTTGACATGGGCTTTTGGCCTTGCACCTGGTCTTTGTGGTTTCTGATGTCTCAACAATAACTCTTGAGGCAGGCCGCCGGGCGCCGAAACCTGAGGGAGAGACGTGGCGAGGTTTCTGCTGGCCGGCGGCGCAAGTCTCATATGTGACGCTGACAGATAGCTGTTCAATGTGATGCGTTCCTCGCGTGTTCATATGCGAGATGTAAGTCCTCAACCACAGCAGACGCAGTAATTAGCTTGCAGCTGCCCTACGTGGATGTGTCTCATCAGCACCTGGCACTGCAAAAAGACTTGGCTTTGGCGCGTGAACAAAACCGTCGTCTCCATTGGCAGGCTCCGGGATAACGAAAGTCGTGGCGGTGCAACACACAACAGCCAGGAGGTGTACAGCGTCATCTTGGGCGAGTCAAAGTGTATGCGAATGTCATTTGTTGATATAGCGGCAATAGTGCGGTATACTATCGCAGTATGCGACTTGTTGGGCTTGGTTGGTCGCTATCGATGCTATCGGGGATAGCCATGTACGATGGGCGTTCTAGGTTCCGGTTCCGGAATCCGGGGGGTAGCATATACCCTGCCATGCCAATCTGGGTAACAACAGCGTCCGTCTGGTTTCTGGGCCGCAACACCAACGAAAGAAGAGATGGGCCGGTCGGTCAGGCACTGGTGGTGTCGTGTCGTGTCGCCTCGGTCGAGAGGGTTGTGCAAGTGCGCCGGAGGTTCCGAGCTCCCAGCGGAAAAGGATGGAACAGGTCGGGTCGCTTGAAGACTGTGGCGTGGACTGGCTCAAGGCGGAGAGGTCGTCGGTCTCTCACCGAGGTGTTTTGTCACGTTTTACGGGATATTGGAGTGCGACGCTCGAGAGTGTCATGGCCGGAGCAATGTGCGGGCACTCTCCACCGCCCCGAAGCCAGCCACAGTGACGGGCATGGATTCCATATCCAGACGTGGTGGTGGCCCTAGGTACAGCAGGTATTCGCTGCCGCACCACCCACGTCGATGACCAGCAGCAGGAGGGAAGGTCACTCGCAGAAGCGATTTGTGGGCGCTCAACGTCGACTGGAGTCTGGCATCGCTGCCCCTCATCTCTTCATGTCTCTCGAGACTCGAGGACCGGACGATCATTAGTCGAGGGCAGGACCCTTTGTCAGCGACTGATGTAATAATTGGGGGTTCGGCGGGTTAGGGGAGGGGAGGGCGCTGGATGTGCAGTGAGAGCCGCAGGGGTATGCCTGGGAATCAGCCATCAGAGACAGAGGATTGGCGCGTGTTGATCGGAGAGGCGTGGGCGCAGACATGGAAGATGGAGCATGCTCCGTCGGGTCGGCTCCGACGATGAGACGCTGACGAGTGCTGTGCGCAATGTGCCGTGAGACCAGACGCGGGTGACGAACGTTTCTGCGGGCGGTCCAGGAATAGAATCGTCTACCTTACCGCAAACGAGCACCGTGGTCCTTCTTCCATCCGCCAGGGGCAGTAAATCGCAATAAAGACATGGGCGCAGCAGCAGGGCATGGCGAAGGTGGTGAAAGAGGCCCGACGAGAATGATTGCCGCAGTCGTTGGTGCCCTACGTAAAGTGTGACATTGAGGGAGGAGAGGACGATGGCTTCGGTCCTGAGATGAGCGACCAGGGTCCGCAGGAGCTGGCGGTAGCATCAGGCGCGTCGACAGGGCTGACGAGGCACCAGGTCGGACTGGCGGATGGTACACTGGAAGGTTGAAGAAGGAAGCCTGAGAGACAGCATCGGAGCTGGGAGACGGAGCAGAGACGGAGAAAGACAGAAGCGCAGGGTCTGGTCCTTGAGATGTAATTAGACGACACGGGATTGGACGGCTGGGAGGGTCCACGGTGGATGAAGCTGAGGCGATGGTGTTGAGGTCCGGGGATGGTCGATGCGGACCTTGCCTTGGCTTGACTGATTGACCACGTGAGAGGATCCATTGTGATTGGGAAGTCCTCGCGGCTATTGATGGCCCATAGGTGCGTAGGTAGTAATTGTTGAAGTTGCGATAATAAAGTCGAAGGAAAGTGCGGTAAAGGTGGAAATGGAATGTCAACCTAGTGTCGAGTTAATGCATGCGGCAGGTGCTGTCAGGAAGCAGTTAGAGTTCTGTCGCCTCGAATTCAGGGTCCAATCCTCGGGCAGGTCACGTCCTCTTACGGACTAACGGGGCCTGCGGAATGGGGCACACCACAGTGACCACGCGCATTCTCCGCTGCCGTTGCCCAGTGAGCTGGAGAGTTAACGGGAGCTGTAGTCGATTGGGGTCAAGCGCGAGAGGAGTCTTGTTTCCGTTTTACCTAAGGGACTTGACAAGTCGTGTTTGGTGCCAGGTCTACCCCAGTCCGAGGCACGTTTTTTGTCGATGGGAATTATGGTTCTATTCTCTCGTTATTTCTCATTGTAGGTACGGATAAAGAACGAAGTACTTACTGAGGTACATAGCTTAAGTAAGGTAATGTACCTAATAAAGGCAGGTGCCCAGTTTTGGAGGGGCAGACGACAGACGACAGGCACGGCACACGCAGCGCGCTAAAGATGCATGAGATGCGCAACAGACGACCGGGGCCGTCTTCACCGCATTTTGTGTCCCCGTCTCGTTGCCTCCAAGAAGCACTTTGGCACTCACACTGCAGGGCATCTCAGTCTTGCAAGTTGCAGTCTTGGAGGGGTAGCTCACTGCCTGAAGCAGTAACGGCTGATGCGAGGTGTTGAGGTGGCTGCCGTTGGTTCATCGCCTTGGCCGTGCCGTCGCCGCTGCCGTTGCCACTGCCGCTCCCGTTGCGCCGTTCGATGCTGAGCTTCCGTCTTGTGTTTAAGGATGATTGCTGACCAAGCCTGACAGAGATCGCATTCATCTTTCCAGGCTGAGTCTAAATCCCCCCTCGCTGCATGTATAAAAAACAAAATGAAATTCTGAAGTTGGTAGGAACGTTGGTAAAGACAGGTACGGATACTTGCACTTGCCTCACATAGGTACGAATACCTAAGGTACATAGAACCTTACTTGAGGTAGGTAGGTAAGGTAAGGTAAGGCAGGTTCCTTACCTACAGTGTATCCACTTAGCCTACTGCGTAGTGACGGTGGTACGTACCTCCTCCCACCAAGCGGACCACTGACGATTATGGCACTTCCGCATCGCCCTCCACTGGTGTCCATTGTCCACTAAGCATGGTATCCATCGCCTACTGTCTCTTTCTCTCTTGCTCTCTTTCCCCCTCCATACCTTCCCTTCCCTCAGCCATCACTCACCCAAACCACCAACATCGAGACACCACGCACCAAAACACCACAATGGCCGGATACGCAGCACTCGCCGTTGACGGTTGACTGGCCACACCCGCACACACCCCCTTCCGGGCCATATCCATGTCAATCCCTCGCTCTGCTGCCACCACCCTCGCCCCGAGCTGCCCAAAAGTCTGAGCCTGAGCCAGAGCCTAAGCCTGTGCCCTGACACTGCAACGCTCGCCCCGACCACCACCAACCATCACTCCCTTGCAGAACCCAGCTTCGCCTTCGTTTCTTCTGCCTGTTGACCAGGTCTACCCGTCTTGACTCTTGACTCCTCGACACCACACCCTTACTTGGTACGAATACTGCGCAGGGCAAGGCACATAGCGACACGCCCACCACCAGCTCCGACGCTCCTCCCAAACAACATATCCATCGCATTACTTCATACCGACACCCCGACTGCTGTCTGTCTGTCTCGACTTTTCCACCGCCGAGCCTAGTCCGCCGCCGCACCGCACCGCACCAAATATCATCGCCCTTCTTCCCGTCTCTCGACCACCCTTTCCTCAACTTCGACACCATCTCTGCCATCTGCAATCCTACTCTCCCCGCAGACGCCCGCCTTTCCCCGTCTTTTGTCGCCTCCGCTGCTTTTCGCCTACCTTTATCGGACCGTCCTGGCCGAGATTGAGAGTACTCGACGTGGGAACTCAACTCGACAACCTGCAGTCGGCACGACGAATGCGAGCAAATACCGAGCACTCAACCCACCACCCCGGCCCCTCTTGATCCGCCACTGCCATTCGCCGCGTTTGTCCCGAGCATCTGGTTCCCATTTGCCTGCGTCACATCCATCTCTCTCTCACCACCAAACTCCTCCCTTCATCACCCGTCGTCAACCCTTCCGACCTCCCGATTTCGATAGCCTCGTTGCGTCGCCCGTTGCTCCCTTACACCAACATTCCTTTGATCACCCCGCTCCTCATCCACCTCAAAGACGCGCTCGCGCCCACGCCCACCATCGCGACTCCCAGCCTTTTCTTCTCGCGCGACCTTGAACTGCACCCATCCCGGCTTTTCGATCTGGAGACTGCAACACACGACAAGTTATCTTGCGTGCGCCTCATATACACTCAAAAAGAGAGAGCTTGCAAACCGTCTCATCATCCACAACCCGACACGACGACAAGACCCGATTTGCCAGCCTCCGACCACCTTCCGACGACTCATTACCATTAAGCTTCAGACCCCGGCTAGACCTCTCCAACACCGTGCACCCCTCAACTCTGTTGCTCTCAGCCCGCCTCTACCCACCACATGCCGCCGCCTCGACCCTGAGCCGCACCATCACGGTCTCTCACATTGCTCACCCTCAATCACATGGAATTTCTGCCAGAAGCGATGTTTTTCCAACTGAATTACCACTGCGTGCCGTGCTGAGAAAATGGCCCTTCCCCCAAACCTTTGAGCAACCAGAGCCTTCTCATCATCGTTTTACCAGCCGTCTTCTTCAAGATGCTGGGGAAGCTCTTCAATTTGGGCACCGGGAGCCCGGCAAACGCTCCTGACCCATCCCAAACGAATAACAATATCTACAAAGAATCTCCACAATCCCTCGAGTCTATGCAGGAGGACATCCATACAAGAAACCTCCTGTTCCCCGACACCGAGGCATTATATCAACATCGAAATGACCAGGTCTTCCCACTTTCCATGGCCTCCGCCCTCCCGCTGGCATCCATCGCAAGTGCCTTCGACTACGACGGAGACATCGACCTAGACACCCGTCATGTTCGCCTTCTCATCATGCAGGATGCCGTGGCCTCGTTCCCGGCCCAGCTTCTGTTCGACAGCCACCCGGGCCCACCTAAGCCGCCAGCAACGAGGGAAAGGCCCGTATCAGGCATCGGCACTGTTCATGATTCTCAAAGAAATCCAACATCGCCCAGGAAAAGCAGTTTAAATCAGACATCGCGCCCTCTGGTCATCCAGCCAGACAGTCCTCAGCCCCGCCAAGGTGCTTTTGATCGAAGGGCCTCAATGCAAGGTCGAACTCAATCTCAGGCTGAGACAGACCTCCAGCGCGCACGACGCGAGTACGCCGACGAGATTCACGCTTTTGCCGGATCCGTCTTTGGAAATTCAGAATTGATGGCTTATAAAGGCACTTCAACAAAAGTTCATATCGTTCCCACTGACAGTCGCCCCGAGTATGGGGGCTCATACATGGGCGATGGTCGGGGCTCCATTGGCCGTTCCAGCATGCGCTCTAGCAGACTGGCCCAGTCATACACATCGGACAGTGTCTCGCCCATGCAGCCCACTCAGTCATTCACATCCTCGGCACCAAACTCGCGGCTTCTTCCTGAGAGAAGGAAAATCCTCATCACTCGACTTTTCCCAGTCTTGCTGCCCAACGACGATGCCGATGCGCAGAGTGACACTCCTTTGAGCCGGTTCTCCGACCAGAACACAGGTTTCCCCTTTCCACAGTCTGCAGACGACAACCCACCAAAAAAGAAGAAACCGCAGCCCAAGCAGAAACGCACACCCATGTATGCGGTCGTGCTGGTGATTCAGCTGCCCCCAACGTCCGCTCAGCCAATTCCTCCTTCCACCATCAGATCGACATTCCGGGCCAGCTCCTACACTGACCAAGAGTCGTCATTCCCGTCATCTATGAGCTCTGCGCGTCGGTCTGGCTGGACCATGTCAGGATCAGGGTTTCCTCTTGACTCTCTGGACTCGTCCTGCTCAACCGATGTCGACGACAGGATGGACACCATAACTCAGCACTGGGATATCACTATGCGAACTTTGACGCATCTTCAGGGAGTTGTGGCTACTACGCTCGGCACACTCTTGAAGCAAGCAGACATTGCTTCACCTGACCCTTACCCTCCGTCCTTCTCGTCGTACGTTGGTCGAGCTAAGTCCATGGGTGGCAGGCGGGACGAGCCTCACTTCATCAAGCCCCCCAAAACGAATGCAAAGGTGATCGCGCTGCAACCGAACTGCCTGCAACACGAAGACACCATTGTGCAGGAAGCGAGTATGGCAAGAGTGCGGGTTGTAACAGGCTTACGAGCTCAGCGTGTCATCACCGCACAGGGAAGGTGGGGCATTTGGAGAGACGAGGCCAGATGGATGGCGAGAAAGGCAGGGGAGAAAGAGCATGGCTTCTTCTTCTTCAACCTCCTCACTGGCTTCCTCGCCACGCATACCGACTGGTTGAACGCGATGAGCCCGGCATGGTATCGCAGAAAGCACCATCAGCAGCAGAAGGCAAAGGGTGAAGAAGACCTTTCTCTGCCGGCACGAACAGTTATTATCGCCCAAGACAAGATGCTCGCGCGGCGTTTGATCTTTCTGCTCTCAGCTTTCCTGCCATCGCACCAGCACATCTCATCGTCGCGAACGCATCGACCGAGCACGTCCACGTCCTTCGGTGCCTTTTCCCAGTCACCCCCTTCGCTCATCATCCCAATTCTTCGGGAAGAGTCTTTGCGCCGTAAGATCAACCGACGAACCGGTCCAAGGAGAACGTCACACTCCCGCACAGTCAGTCAAAGCACGCGGGCGTCTGGTGTTCCTCCGCAGTTGGCACATCTCAGCATGGAAAGCCGCCATGAAAGACGTGTCTCGGATGCGACCTCAATTCGATCGAACTTGCCCATCCCTGGCAATGATCAGGTCAGCAGGAAGAGTAGCGCTGCCACAACCACGACCATCACGCCAGAGACTACCATTCCACACTTCACGACCGCCCAAAGATTCGAGAATCGGCGAAGTTTGCGACCAGGAAGCAGCAGCAGCGTGGCCGCGGACGACCTCAAGCGGACGCTAAAACGAGGCGAAAGTTCCGGTCATGTTAGCTCCGCGAGCACCGACTCCCGCATGTCAGGTTCGAAGTGGGGCAGTGTGATCAGCACTCTCTGGAATGGGAAGCGGAGGGACTCTACCGGCCTAACAACGCCTAGCCACCCCTACAGCAGCGGGCCAACGTCCCCTACGAAATCCATTCATGGCCGCCGAGACAAGCTCGCCGAGATGGTCCGAGAAGTTAGAACCGAAGGTTATCGAAGGACGGAAGAACGCGCCCAGAACACCGAGGGCAATGGCAACGGCCCCAACACGCCACGGGGCTTCGACGATCAAGCCATAGACGACGCGCCCGAGAAGATCTCTTTCCCTGAGAGAATTCCAGACCCCAATGGTGACTTTCAGTCTCCCGTCAAAACCTCGATCAATGCCGAAGACGGGGTTATAGATGTTGACATTCCGTTTCCCGACTACATCACATCTTTCGAGACGGCCGTCAGTTCGCCCTCCAGTAGCGGATATCTCTCCACTCCGGGAATTGGCAGCGGACTGGAAGGCTTCGAGCAGTTCTCGAGAATCACCATCGACGGCGATTCGCCCATGAATGTCGCCGGTTTTCTCCAGCGATATCATGAGGATATGATCCTTCAAGCCGTGCCTCCTCAAGACAACCTGATGGACGACATCCGAAAGTCTATGAGAGCTGAGCCTACCCCTTTCATCACACAGCCCTTCTACTCCATGGAGCAGCCCGCAGATCGATGGGTTGACGTAAGCAGCGCCCTCATTGCGGACACAACGAGACACACAATCATGCGCATCCGCTATCGCCGCCTTATCCGACCGAAGCCATTTTTGGATCGGGCGGCCCCTCTCGGCTCTGCTGGCTCGAGCTCATACAGCGCGGCACCCTTGACGCCTTCTGTTCTCCCATACGAGACACAATTGGATGACGAATTCATTGAGGAGCCCATTGCGAGCTTGGACGAAGTCTTGATCGAAGCGGTTGAAAGGGTCATTGCTCAGAGCAGTGAGGTTAGCAAGCAGAGCTCATCGAACTCTTCTCGGTCAACCAGCAAGCGGCGAGACCGAAGCAATAGCGAGGCTTCGGCGTCGGTCGACTCGCATCATACCACTCGCATTCCGGTGCCGGCTCAAGAAGTACCGCGCGATCAATGCAAGACAGTGGTACTGTCGGCCTTGGACGAGATCATCCGTGATGTCATCGAGGAGCGGGACCACGAGAACGGAGACACCAACATCCACACCGACCGAGATCGAGAAAGCGCGCTCCGCGAGGCCGTTCGCGTGTGGCTCGACGCTGTTGACTCCAGCGAATAAACACAACAAAATCACGGGCAAGGCGTTTAGCCCGTGATCCTTACGACGTAATGACAAGTCAGCATGCAGAAACATTTCTGCAATTACAATGTACCACCACCAAACCCAATTTTTCCTTTGGTCAGAAGAGAGCGAGAGAATGTGTGTGAGAGAGACCAGATACATCGAATTGATACCCCGAAGCACAAGAAATCTACACTTCTTTGCTTTCTGTGAGCGCGCTCGTGCGGTGTTTGCTTTGCAGCACCAGCTATTTGTCTGGCATGGGATGGGTTTACATGCGGGCCTGCGAGCCCGATATTTGGCGTTTTGGAATGGCACGGCATAGAAGGACAGCGAGCGCCCTTTCATTTTGAGTCGCTATTTTCAGGAGGAGGGGAACGGAAGACGGCGTATCTGGTTTGTCAACTATTTGTAGGTAGCTAGCTGCTGGGAGCAAAGGCGAAGTAATAAGAAACCTTCCTGGCACTCGATGTTCACTCAGATATGTGACTGGTGCAAATGACCCTCAGCTAACAAACATAATTCTAACTGAATTGTACACGAAGTTGCGTCGCAAGTCTCATCTCGGTCGCCGGTAAGACAGACCGAGACACAGCGGGTCCTGCAAACGTCAAAATTCTGGGGAAGTCGCCAAAGAGGCAGGCGGTGTACCCCACCCTTCGAGCTCACCCACAATTCTGCCGTCGCAATCGACAGCTCCCCAGCATGATGCATACCACTACAATCACAGCTCGCCTGTGCGACTGATAAGCACGGCCACACTCATAGCAGCTCTACGAAACGACACGACAAAGACTGCAAGAAGACCGTCGATTCGAAAGAACGAAATGCCACTGCGAAACCACACAACAGGCCCCCCGTGACCGCGAGCCGAAGAAAGACAACGCAAGAAGTAGGCTGCGAAACCGAACCTATACCTACCTTACACGACGAGTGAAAGCGCTCCGTCGCAAAATTTCTAGAGTTGGACACCCGCGATGCCTCCCCCGCCCCTGCGCAGCGGCGCCTCGATGCGCAAGACGCCAAACTGGCCCTCGCACCTGCGCCAGTTCAGCAGGACCTCCCTCGAACCCCCCGCAACCGCGTCCGCCGCCTCCTCCGTCGAGTCCCCCCGCTCCCCGGACACCGTGTCGAGCGCCTCCACGGTCCGCGGCGACAACTCGAGCAGCTCCGTCAAGCACCGCCGCCTCGAGCGCCGCTGCGTCGTTGGCGTGAACGAGGGTTATTCGCGCGACGAGGTCCTTTTGAGCCCCGAGCTCGTCAAGGGGGAGGTCAGGCCCGGTAGCCTCGTCGCGATCACCGTGATCCGGACAGAGGACGGCAAGACGTCTGTGAAGGACCATGCTTCCGCTGGCGCGAGGGGCGGCTCTGCGAGCTCGGGGGCCGGTCAGGGCGACGGGGCTGCGCAGACATCAGATGGCAGCACGGCGGCGGCGACGCTGGGGAAGAAGTACTTCTTCGTCGCCAAGGAGATGTCCAAGGAGCTCAAGAGCCGGCTGCCGAACGTGGACATTTACGTCGTGAAGCACATTGCGGACGCGTTCGGGATGAAGAAGGGCACGCAGGTGCTGCTCACGCCGGTGGACGCGGACAGCCCCGCGACGGCGGCGTCGCACGTGGAGCTGAGCTTCAAGGACCAGTACCTCTCGCGGTCGGACATGTGGCGGCTGGCGATCGGGGAGCTGACGGAGCGGACGGTGTACAAGGGGCAGAGCATCCTGTTCATGGGCACGATCAAGGCGCAAGTGACGGCGGTGTACGTGGACGGGCGCAAGACGCACTCGGCCTTCTTCACGCGGGACACGCGGCCGATCTTTAGGAGCGAGTCGGCGCGGTACGTGCTGTTCATACAGATGGCGCGGGAGATGTGGGACTTTGACAGCGAGGGGAGCGGGGAGATTTTGTTCAACAAGGTGGTGAACGGGTTCCTGCCCGCGCTGTTCAAGAAGTGGGCGAAGCTCAAGGCGAAGCACCTGGTGAGCATCGTGCTATTTGCAAGGGTGGAGTACGATACGGGCTTGACGACGGAGCTGGCGGGGACGGTGCACGGGGATTATTACACGGGCACGCAGATCTCGGGGGATAAAAGGCCGTACAAGGACTTTTACCGGGTTGTGGTGAGCGAGATGGCGAGCGGGGAGTGGACGACGATTCTGTACCAGCTGAAGAGAGAGTTCAACTTCTTCCGGCGGGACATTAGTCTACACCACCAGATGGCGGGGAGCGCGTTTGTGCCGCTGGCGGAGGAAGGGAGGGGCGTCGCGAGTAACCGCGTCAAGGCCGAGAGCAGTCTGGCCATGTACGGGAATTTCCTGGAGGCGATCAATCTCGCGAGCAGCCAGTTTTCGCATGACTACGTCGACCGCGATCTCATGCGGACGGGCATCTCGATCGTGGTCATCAGTCCCGGGCCGGGCGTTTTCGAAGTCGAGTACGAGAGCTTACGGAGGACGACGGAGGCGCTCGTCGGCAACGGGATCGGCATCGACCTCATCTGCGTGCCGAAGATGCCGCTGCACTCGGTGCCGCTGTTCCGGTACCGGAATCCGCAGACGGCGGGAGACTCGCACGGCTTGTCGCGGACGAGGAGCGTACGGAGCCGGGAGAGCACGCCGAAGCAGCAGGCGACTCCCGTCATCGGCAGCTACCAGTCGCTCTCGGAGAGCCTGTCGCCGACCAAGGGGCTCGAGCTTGCGCACCGGATCGAGAGGATAGCGAACCCGCAGGGCGAGTGGTCGTACGCGCTCCCGCAGTGGTTGCACGTCTCGTACTGGACAGGCACGAGCGAGGAGGCGCTGTCGTACCAGGGCATCGCGCTGAGCGTGTCCAAGGAGGAGGAGGAGGAGGAGCAGGGGCGGAACGCGGCGAGCGAGGACTTTGCGATCCGCGCGCGCATGTACGACCTGCAGATGAGGAGCGTGCTCGAGACGAACGAGATCGAGACAACGCCGCTGCAGGCGGATCCGCTGTTCCCCGTGGCGACGACGGAGACCAAGACGTCGCAGAAGGCGAGGCTGGTCGGGGCGGAGGAGATTGCTATGATCCCGCCGAAGAGACATCCCGACGGGCTGGTCGACCACGTGTACGGGTTCCAGAAGTTCGTCCCGGACAGGCTCGTGCGGCCTGGGGAGAAGAGCCTGTGGAAGCAGCTGCAGGAGTACGACGAGACGAGGGCGAAGCTGCCAAGGAGCAGGCGGCCAGCGCCGAGCCGGGCATCGAGGGACTTGGAGGAGACGACGCGGAGGCAGCTGATGGAGGACGCGGGGCTCTTTGGGACGAGTCTGCCGGAGAAGAAGATTGTGCCGAATCAGAGCCTCGCGGCGGTCGCTGCGGGGAGGAAGCTGAGCGTGAATATTGGAGACAGCGAGAAGGCGGAGATTGTGGCCGCTGCGAGGAGGGCGGCGGCTCATCCTCCAACTGCGGCGGCGGCGACAACTACGTCTTCGACGAACTCGTCAACGCCGGATTCGGGCAGTACCGCAAGCAAGACGTCGGGCACGAATACGCCGTCGAAGGCGCCCAAGTTCATGCGGCAGATCAGCCTGGGTCTTCGCGGTTTCGGTGTGGCGGCGCCTAAGGTCGTGGCCGCGGAGGCGAGTTTCGAGACTGTGGGCGCGTTGACGGAGCAGAGCGTCACGAGCCCAACGACGCCGCTCGTCATGTCCACCATGCCGCGGCCGTCGTCGCCGCAGGTCATCAAGCCCGCCTTGTCGATGACGCCGGGGCTCTTCCGGTCTGACTCGAGGGACACGTTGAAGGATCTGCCGAGCACGCCGAGCATCCCCATCAATATGAAGTCTTCCGGGCGGAGTCAGAGCTCGGTGGCGCAGCAGCACAAGTATGGGTCCGTCCTGCCGCCGTCACTGGCGAGAAAGGAGATCTTCCTTGAGGACCGCGATCAGCGGCATTCGAACGTTTTCAGGGCGGAGGACGACAACCAGAAGATGTTCAACAGCAAGCTCAGAGCCGGGGCGATGCCGGAGCTGCCATCTACGCTGTCGCCTACGACGGCCATCTCGCCCTGGCTGACGGTGCTGAACCCGTCGAACCCGGACCGCAACAAGGTCGACGACACGGTGCTATACAGCCGATGGCAGCACGTGTTCCCGCGGACGTCGGAGATGAAGGTGATGAAGTGGAAGGCGCTGTGCTGCCCGGCCGCCGTGCCGCTCACGACGGAGTACTTCCCGAGCAAGGCGCAGTTCGACACCGAGTACCAGCGGCAGCCGTACGTGATTGCGCAGAACGCGGACGACGAGCTCAGCGAGGAGCCCAAGTCGCGGGAGGAGTTTTTGCGCGAGCTCATCAGCCTGAGGTTCTCGCAGGGGTTCCAGGTCGTGATCGGGCCGTCGGTGGCTAAGGCTTTCGGGCAGAGGTTACTGCGGATCGCGGACATTTTCTCGCGGGACCAGGCGATGGAAGATGGGACAAGCATTTTTATGAGTGTGGGGAATGTGATTCACCAGCTTTCCTGCGTCAACGGGACCGAGGTGGAGGTGAATATCTACATTCGCAAACCGGCGGCGTCGACGATTGGCGGGAACGCGACCGGTGGGCCGCTATATAGACCTGCGATCCGGACGTTGATGGATTCCGGGTACCAGACGCAGGAGGTTGACATCTCGACGCCGAAGCCGGAGAGGAACTGGAACTACATCGATTCCTACCTGGCGGGGCATCACGACGAGATGACGGAGAACCTGAGGTTCTGGAGGGCGAGGTTCGTGTTGATCCCGATGGTGTCTCGGTACTCTGCCGTGCCCAGGAACCAGGCGGGTGACAATGCGGAGGAGGTGCGGTTGGAAGGAATCAGGAGGCTGTCGCTGTCGTGGCAGAAGCACCGGTATCTCCCGCCTTCCGAGAGGCGGTATCAGACTGTGAACTCGCGACGGGACCCGAATCCGTTGGATATCGTGTACAAGACGGAGGACCCGTCCGTCGTGATTGCGGCGGAGCTGGATAACCTCCCGCTGGTCGAGGGCATGGACGGCAACCGG